GAAACACCCCCAAATCACCCCAAACATGTATTCTAAGGCCTAAGTTGATTATTGAAGCTTATAGAAGTTATTAGTGGTCATTATACATCATTTTTACACTAGAATAACATCAAAAAAATCCATAACAACAAATTAATAACTCAAGCACCCACGTGCTCTTCCACCCCATACAAGTAAGCACTCTCATGTAAATGACATACAAGTAGGAAGGAAGAGTTATAGTGTGTTACCTCAGCTCCTAGAAACCCAAAAATGCCTCTAGCTTACCCAAGAACCAACATTTACTTGACCTAGTTCTTTGGGGTCTTTGCATTACTCTTCCATCACCCAAAAGCCACCAAACAACTCTAACATGAAAACAAAGAATACTAGTTGTTAAACAACAACTAAACTACAAGAAAATCGAATGAAAACCAAGGGAGAAAGCTCTTGGAGCTTATACCCTCCTATAATTTAAAATGAGTTCATAACCACCATTGAAGAAGATAGTGAGCTCATCTTGGAGCTTATGATTCTAGCATCATGAATCTTAACTTGGATTTTCGAATGGGTGAAGATGATTAAGAAAGATGGTGCCTTTGAGAGTAGAGAAGAAGAAATGGGAAGATAAGAAAAGAGAATAAGAGATGAAGAAGGAAATAGAACACTTTTCTAAAGGAGAAAGAATCCTTAAAAATCAACCATGTTTTTACTAAATGGGTAAATTACCCCTTTGATCCCTCTCATTTTATTTCAAGCTTAAAAATCCCCTTTTTATCTCAAAATGAACTAAATCCTAACCCGACTAAACTCAAATTTGAATCAATGGACCTCCATACTTATATAATTTTCTTCAATACATTCTTGGGTCAGCACGAAACTACTAAACCATTTTTTGGGGCATTACAAAATTATATTTTCTATGAACTTTCATGTAAATATTTTGACTTTAACATTGAGAATTCAATTTGTTAAAAAGAAAATATATCTCAATGAAAATTTGGTAAAAGATATATTTTCTATCTTGTATTCATCCAATCAAACATTGTAATCTTACATTCTTGCTAAACAAATCATAAAAGGTAATACAACATTCCAGTAATATGTTAAGTAATGTAACATTTCGGTAATCTCATTCTCAAAGGTAATCTCACATTTTGTTAACCAAACGACCCTTAAAGGATTCAAATAATTCATGAGAAAAAAATAAGTTTGTAAAAAATTGAAGTTAAAAGATCAAATTGAATAAAATAAGTTAATGAAATAAATTGAAAAAATAGTAAATTCATATATAAAAACAAGAATTGAAGTTATACATGTATTGTGTAATGCTAGAGGAGAATGTAGTTCAAATCTGGTCAAAATGAACTTAAAATGGAGGATGAATTGAAGACATGAGGAAATTAGGCAAAGTTTAGGGACTAAATTGAAAAAATAGAATTTTTTTTATAGAAAAGAGGAATTTAAGATCCATAAGTATTCGATAATGGTTTAGAAGCACATAATTCAAATTAGGTAAACCTGACTTAAAATGAACGAAGAATTGAAAGAATAAGGAAATTAGAGACCAAATTATAAGACTGTAAAAAATATTCAACTAAGTTTTTGGTTGACTTGAAATTTTCAAATTCCAACTCGACTTGTACTAAAAAAACAACTCAATAATCTGAGTTAACTCGAATAACTCAAATTTAATTTTTTTTAAATTGAATAAAATTGAGTTTTGCTCAGTTCTACTAATTTATTATCTTAACAACCATTATTATTTTTTATTAAATAGAGAAGTGTTTATATTTCTATGGTAAATATTGAAAGGTAAAATAACATAAACATCCTCGATCACTCAATCAATTAATAAATTTTTAACCACTATAAATTTTAATAGCATAGTGGCTAGTATTTCTCAATATTGTTTTCCCAAACATATATCTGGATTAACAGTGGGTACCTTTCAAGCAACTGTCGGATTGAAAAAGAGATTTTTTTAATTAATCTGGAATAAGTACAAGAATGTATATGTTCATAACTCTCAATTATTTGACATTGAACGCTCACACCCCTGACATTTTTTATGCTTGAATTTAGAACCTCAAAAGATAACAACAATTATTTTATCACTAAAGTCATTTGGTTCATTCTGGAGTGGAGTCTCTTGCCGATGTTTACAACATTTTCCAGGAATCCAAACTTGGATTTTGATGATCAGAAAAAATCAATCCTACCCAAGAAAAAAGGGTTAAAGCACAACCACTAGTTACCAACAATGTAGACTATATTATTTTTTTATGTGAATGAATATCATAAACTTTGACCTTTTGTGGTACCTACTCCCATTGAAAACAACCTTTGAGATGGTGCCCATTCCAATACCCATTTGGTCTGCTCTTTTTTATTCTACCACACACTTCCCATTTGTATGGGAATATGAATCAATCTTCTTATCTAATTTCAGCATAAAATCACATATATCTAAAATCATATGGGAGTCCTATTAGCCAATTTCATTTTCACGGGCCATTTCAAATATTGTTTTGCCTTCGTGGAATAAAATTACACAGGAACAAGACAATAGCGTTATAAAATCATAGCATGCCACATATTGCGTTACCATTTACCTGAATAATTAAAAGATTTGAGAAATAAGTTCAAAAAATAGATTTTTTTAGAAACCGGTTCTTATCAAGTGGCTTTAATAGTAAAAAAAAATGTTATTTTTTTATAAAGGTCTTGGGTTCGAATAATTGCGTCTACAGGTTGTATGTGCATTATCACTATATTAAGAAAGTTTTGAATATATATTACTTTACAATCACCTCAGACTAATACTTTTTTTTTGAAGAATTGATTCTCATCAATTACACACTAGGATTTTATGTTTAGATAAATATGATTTTAAATTCTTCAATATAATAAAATATTACATTTTTGTGAACTAGGTGGTAAATTATCTTGAGAGGATTTGAATTCGAGCAACGCGTTTGTAGGGTGTACATTATCATTTACTAAAAAATATTCTGAACAAATATTATCTTATTATTTCGATTATTAAAAAAATCAATTTTTAGTTTCCAAGTAAAGTAGAATTAAGGAAAACATATATAAGCAAATTTCAATCCCATGGAATACATTTTCATGCTATAAAGTTTTAATTTCAAGTTGATCAGCGTTGTACCTATTTTTTAATGGATTTTTCTTTTAAATTATTTAATTCCACTGGTAAGAAGCAGTTCTCTCCCATGTCTATCAAGGATTGAGATGCAAAACACTATGAACAAAAGATTCAGACAACCCTTTTGCTAAAATATAGTCCATGATTCAAAGAGAAAAAAATATAATGATGATTTTATTAAAATTATAATTAAATGATCAATGTAAGAAAACTATAATATTTTGATAACTAATGATGTAGTTTATTCAAATAAATAATATAAATAGATTAAATTTTAGTTCCATTTAATTTGAGATGTTGATGTTATTGTAATATATATGGATAAAAGTTTTAACTTAGTTGTACGAATCAAATGATTTTAGTGACTAAGGAATTATTATCACATGAGGTACTAGATTCGAGTACAACATATACAAAATATATGGGAGTTCATTATTAAATAATAGAGTAAGGAGGGATTTACCTAATACAAGTGATTGCATAGTGTGTGTAGGTTTCTCTGAGGACATTGATCACGTTCTACGTCATTGCAAGCTAGCTACCGACACATGGCCGAGGGTTATCGGATCATAGGTACTTGGTAACTTCCTAGCACTTCCTTTTCGTGATTGGATAGAGGCAAATTTGTGTCCTAAAGGCATGTTCGGAATAAATGATGATAATTGGGTGATTCGGTTTGCCATATACTGCTGGCAGTTATGAAAACATAGATCTTGTGTTGTCTTTGATCCTGAGTTTGTTGAAAGAGAGTTTTATCCTCCGCACAACCGGCTAGTGGATGAAATTGTTAGATCAAATGAGGACGTTGCTGGTTCAGTGCTGATGGCTGTTAATAACCCGATGAAGTGGATTCGACCAACTACTTGATTTGATCGAAGTCAATTCGGATGGAGCAGTCAACCTTGTGAGCAACATGGCTGCGGCAGGCGGAATTCTTCGAAATCATGAAGGCAACTTGGTATTCGGATTTACAAGAAGTTTAGAAAGATGTTCAGTTATTTTAACCGAACTGTGGGCTTCCCACAATATTTTATTACATGCGTGGAAGTTAGGGTTCAAACTAGTACAGTTTGAAACGGACAACACGAGGTAGCTCGAATTTTGAATAATACGTCTGAGGCCCTTGTCGATCACTCCTTGACTAATGCTTTGCACGAACTCAGAACTCGAGACTAGACTGTCAAAATTACTCATATTCGCAGAGAGCAGAACAACGTTGGAGATGGTTTGGCAGCTCTAGGGAGTGGTAGACCCATCGACTCTATGTTTTTCTCTGAGTCACCAGAGGAAATTTCCGCACTAATCCACAAGGAATGCTTGGAGTCTAGTTAGACCTTTTGCTACGATATTGTAATAATAAAAAAAAAATCTTTAAACATATATTGTATTGTATTCATCATAAAAAAAGAATTTTAACGTATTTAAGTATATAGTATTTCTTTAATTATTAATGAAAAATATTTGAAATGTTTATATATATCTAAGAAATAGATTAATAATATAAGGTCTTCCAAAATCAGTCCCTATAAACTTGAGTAATAATCTCTTTTGTCCGTGATTTAAAAAAAAAACAATTAATGATAAATCTTAATATTTTTATTTTACAATAATTTTACGTTTGTTATTATTGTGTTTACGTGATTAGAAATACATTACAAATTTACAATAGTAGATCGGCTTCTAGTTAAGTTGGATGACAATCACGTATTTTTATTTTATTTCGAAAAATTATTCGTAATCAATGGGATTTTTATTTTTAAACTATTAAGTATATAAGAAAAGTAACTATGAACTAATTTAATTATTTATTTTACACCAAATAAGCGTTAAAATAAATAAAACCGAAAATGGGGTTATAAGGAGGGCCTGAGACGGAGGAGTCGATACATGAGAGCGCCTGAAACAGCTCCGATTACAGGAGCCGTGAGATATATCCATATTTTATGGAAATTCCTTGAAACAATTGCAGGTCCCAATGACCTTGCTGGGTTCAGTGATCCTCCTGAGATAGGCCTGCATTTGCAAATAAAACATAGAAATACTGATTCAGTTCATCCAAAAGTCAATAAAAATTACACAACATCAAAGAATTGGTGGTAGTATTCACCCTGTGATAAGGATTGCAAGCCCAATGGCCATCCCAATTATCAATCCAGACATCGGACCAACCTGCTTAAAGTCACAAACACTTGGTTTAGTTTGTACATTGTATGGCCTATGGCATGTCTAAATCCACAAGAAGCCTTACAGAACGTGATTGTCGGGTGACCGATGCGATGACGAACACGACGATGAAACTGGCGACGAGCTCCACCATGAAAGCCCCCTGGCAACCATGGCTGGGCCGGGTCGTCAGAAGATCTGATTTAGTGCCGTAGATGAACTCTCCCATCAATGTTGCCAGAATAGAACCCAGAACTTGTGCCAATATGTAAAGTGGTACCTGCGAGGAAAAAAAAAGCACACAAAGGATTTGTGGTTTTGGTACCTAAATTAGTAGACAATGGAGAACAAAAGCACCTTGGACCAAGGAAAAAAGCCGAATGCTGCAAAGGCAATGGTGAGTGCAGGGTTAACATGAGCACCAGATATGGACCCAATGGAGTAAACCACAACAACAATTGTTAACCCAGCCGTGGTGGCATACTCCAGCAGAACCGGTCCACCTCCGGTTAGCCTAGTGCTTGTTATGATCCCACAAATGCAAAGCACTAAAATAAAAGTCCCCACCATCTCAGCCAAAATCTGCATAATGTGTTATGTGATTATAAAGTAAAACATAAAATTAAAACAATTATATTATATGTGTTGTAAGTATTAAAGTGTCGTGGAAATAATAGTTTAAATATTATAAATTTTATTTATAATTTGATGAGAGACAAAATTATAAATAATTATAAACTAATTTAATATCACTCTTATTTCCGTCAAAAAATTATTACGGTAAGAAAATACTATTTTCTTAGAAGATCATAACCACCTTCTAAGCGATCTTTAATAATGAATTCAAGTACACTTTTTTAATCTAGTATCCATGGATGGACCAAAAGAAGAGCGGGTGGGGCATCACCCCTAAAATTTCAATTTCTTTTATATTATAGATTTTTTGTATTTGTTTTTGATAATATGTTTTCGCCCCAAAATTTTAAAAGTTCTTAATCCCTTAGAATTTTATAAATATGTCCCAACTAGTATTTTATTCTTAATAATTTAGTATAATAAATTCAGATTAGATTTTATGTTTAGTTATAACAAAAACTTAAATGAACGTTATAATAGAAAGATTAAATCCTAAAAATATTATTGTGCATAGACCTTCTACAATCTACACAACAACTGAACTTTTTACCGCTCGGGCAGGGTTTAGATATGTGGCAAAACCAGAGTTTTGGAGCAAAGTATCTCCATTTCCCGACGAACTATTTGAGCCCCCCACTTCATCATCTTTAGGGAGGCCCCCCTGCAAAATTTTGGGTTCGAATAATTCTTTCACTTTCAGAAGGAAACCTGCCATGTCAAAGAGAGTTGATGACAATGGTAAAATGAGTTCCTCTTATTCATATATACATATAAATTATATGAAGCCCAAAGCCAAGGTGTAAAGAACATGAATGGTAGAAAACCTCGATGACTTGTTTCTTGTTTAAAAGGAAAGAGTCATTGATATTGCAAGGGAGAGTTCTTAGTATGGTCGAATTGGTTGTTCTTCACGGAGTTTCAGCAGCTAAATCGGATTAAGAAGAAATTGAGACCTTTGTGAAGTTCCACGCAATTCATAAGATACTTATTATAGGGATCAGATTTTGGTTAATGTTAATTCTTTTTACTGCATTTTGTTCGGCTAAATTAGTGTTCCCAGGATTGTTTCATGCTAAATAGTTTATAGTAAGTGCGGAACTAAACCGTTTTCTTAATTATGATCGGTTCTGATCTTTGGTTCAAGATATATCATTGCTAAAATGCATTAGTGGAGATCAACGGCTGGTAACAAGGTTTAATCACAGCATTAATCCTCATTGTTTCCTTTTAATAACAATGTTTTATCACTCATTAACCCTTCAATTTGAACTCCTTTACTACTCAAATATACAAATGTCTATGAATAATACATGTCCTCTAAGATATACTTAAGGAGTACTCTGGTGCCTTGACGAATCTCAAACACAAACCGACGATAAGCTCCTCAAGAAACCTCCTAAGAACCTTTGCTCAGGAATAAATTCCGAACGTTGAGGTCACAAACTCAGTGCCACACAAATAACTCTATCATACTACATGCATACATCACATGACATACTAGCAGATATAAACATAAACACACAAGTTGGGATTTGCATCATGGTGTGGTTAGAGGGTTTACTACATCTTGAGACTCACACCCCTTTAGCAGACCTATGGTATCCTCGAATACCTAGGGTAAGATTCAGAATTTCTGCATCGAAAAATATACCTGGCTAACTTACTCCTTGTCAGTACTTGAGGCATTTGCACCCAACTAGCGATTTAAGTGTCTTGGCACTAGCTTAGATATATTTGGATATTTCTAAACAAACAAGATGATCGTCATACTTTCTAAATTAACTCAGATGTCCTCGTTGTTTCTTGAGCTTCCACAAAGACATAAGTTTTATAGCTTCTTACTTCACAACATTCTTATGCGTATAATGTATTTATTTGTTGTTCTAACTTGCAAGCTAATTAGAGATGTTCGACGGTCTTAGACCCCTTCTCGAACCCATAAACTAAAGTTAGGCTTCTTACCCAATTTAGTCCTATGGTACCAACACTAAGCTATTTAGTATCGATACCGACCTTCCAGTACTGATACAAACCCTCGGTATCGAAACTAATTTTACATTTGATGTTTTGAGAAAATCTTATAGTATTGATACCCCTATACAAAGTATCAATACTTCTCTCTTATGATACCAATATTGTCCTAGGTATTAGGGGTGAGCAAAACTCGACTCGGCTCGAAAAATCTTTTTTTAATCAATTAGAGTTATTTGAGTCGAGTTATTGAAGTCAACTCGAATTATCAATTCGATTTTCAAGTTCAAGTCGAGTTGAGATTTGTAAATTTTGAGTTACTCAAAAAAACCAAAATTTTGGCTTACTATTTTGGCAGTTTTACGATTTAGTCATTAATTTCCTTATTCCTTCAATTCCTCCTTCATTTTATAAGTCTATTTTATCAAATTTGAACCACATAATCCTAAACCATCGTAGAATACCTATATTCTTTCAATCCCTATTTTTTATAACAATTTTTTATTTTTTAATTTAGTCCCTCAACTTTTCTTGATTTCTTTTTTTTCAATTCATCCTTCATTTTAAGTTTATTTTTACCAAATTTTAATCACGTACCCCTTTACCACTATAGAATACATATGTAACTCTAATGATTATTTTTTTACTAAAAGTATACTCTCTTTTTTATTTCATCCCCTAACTTTGCATTTTTTACTCAATTTGGTCTTTTAACTGCACTTGTATGCAAATTCTTTCTTCTCATCAATTTATTGATTATTTTATACTATCATCAATACTTTACCATCAAAATATATTATTTAAAATATAATACTGTAAATATATTTTATAATTGTAGATTGTATTTGATATATTAAATAATATTATAACGTGATAAGAATATGAATAAATATATATATCTTATATGGTTTGAGAAAATAAAAAATTAGAGAAAATCAAAAATTAGAAACTCAAATAACTCGACTCAAACTTTTTAAACTCGATTTGACTTGGAAAAAATTAAATTTAAGTTCGAGTCACAAAATATGACTAGTAAACTCAAATAACTAAAAAACTTTTAACTTGAATCTACTTAAATCGATTGAATGCTCCCCCTACTGGGTATCGATACCAAATTTAGATTCCATGCTTGGTAAAAATAATTCAGTACCAATAACCTTAGTTAGAGTATAAATACTTCTTCTTCTTGTGTATAAATACTTATTCTTCTTGGGGTATCGATATTGCCCAAGTATCGATATTGAATTTAGCTATTGAAATTTACAACTCAACGATGGTATTGGCAACTCATTCTTTCGTATTGATACTGAAGAACATTATCGATACTTTATGAACAAAATATCAATACTATCCAGCCAAAAACCCTTGTTTTGGCTATCTAAAGAACAATATCAGTATTGTTCATCCAATATAGATACCCAAACTAGAAATTCTCTGGTTTACATGAAAATGTCAGCCCAACTCAACCCTTAATACCCTCTAAAGCCCTTAAACATTATTTAAAGCTTATGTAATATTAAAAGGGTCATAATAAGTCATTTATCATGCTTCATATGATCACAAGCCATAATTCACCATGAATGCACCTACATGCTTTAAGAACTCATACAAGTTAACCAACACATAATAACTCACCAGGGGTATAAATGAGTTAGAAATGTGTTACCTTACTCCTAGATGTTGAGAAATAACTTCAAGATCACCCAAGTAAAAGCTTTTCTTACCATTTCCTTTGGAGATTTCCTCAACATCTTTCATTAATTAAGACAAGTAAATGAGTTATTAACTCATTTAAGATCTTAAAAAGAAGTTAAAAAGGCTTCTTAAAGTTCAAATCTACCACAAACAACCTATTTTAACAATGGTTTTTAAAACCCATCTAAACCCCCACCTATGGCCACCATGGCCAACTAAGGAGAAAATGAGCTTAATTAGAAGCTTTAAGGATGATGATTCCACCACTTACCTCAGTTAATGTAATCCCCTGAATCTTGAGTTAGTATAATTTGAGTTAAAATGGGAAAGAGTTTAAATAAACCCATTAGCTTGTAGGAAAACCATGACCCAATTTGAGTGGATTTGGGCTTGGTTTGAGGCCCAATAGATGAAAAATGTTATCTTTACGTTATGACCAAAGTTAGAAGGGCCAAAAGGGAAATTATACCATCTTTATTTTGAAAGGTTAATTTCCATTAAAATTTGACGAGATCATGTCTGTTTTCCCTTCTTTTTCACCATTCTCTTCTTTGTCTTTTTCATTCCTTTCTCATCATTTTCTTTCTCTCCAAGAGTAGAAAAAAGGTTGAAGATTTTAGTTTTGCAAGCCTAGTTCAAGGATTCCAAGGTAAGTGATGAAACCTCCATACCCTAAGCCTTTATTCATGCTTTTAATGGAAAGTTTTGGCAATGGTTATCAAATATGGGTTTATTGGGTGTTTTAGAACCTAAGCTCAACTAGCCCATTTTTAGATGACTTGAGCCCAAGTGATGTCCTAAACTATTTCTTAATCTTCCCTACAACATTAGTAACCCTTGTGTTTGATTTCTTGCCTAGTGTGAGAAGTTGGAGAAGGCTCCAAGGTTATAAGAAAGGAAAAACTCACCATTGGTTGAGTGAAGGAGCTTCCAGTAGCTTAGAACCTCAATGTAACTCACTTCTAACTCAACTATACCACATATAGGACACTAGGTGTGTTTTGTTACCTTGCATGAGTCATGAAGCATGTTCATGATAGATTTCAGTGTTTGGTGTTTTCAACATCTTTATGGACTTATTATGACCCTTATTATCAGACATAACACTTTAGTGTCGTTTGGGGGACCTTAGTAGGACTTATGGGAGTGTTGGAGAGATATTTTCATACCCAAAATAGGGCGTTACTAGATATAAGTATCGATACTAGAAGAACAATATCGATAATGTTCTTCAGATGATAAAAAAGGGATTTTGGGCTAGAAGTATCGACACTCATACAATGGGTATTGATATTGTAGGTAAGGTATCAATACTCGCAGGGTGGTATCGATACCAAGTTCACTTAGTAGATTCTAGTAGCCATTTTGGGTATCGGTACTCATAGGAGTATCGATACCGATGGTAGAGTCTCAATACTTAGGTATTTTTCAAAACATCAAAGCCAAATTTGGTATTGATACTCAGGAAAGTATCGATACCACATACCAGGAGTATCGATACCAGCCCTTTGCTATCATCCTTCAATAAGTCAGTAGTATCGATACCCGAGGTTAGTATTGATACCCAGATGTCAGAACGATACTAAGTGGCTTAGTATCAGTACCCATTAACAATTTTGGGTAAGAAATCCAAGAGGTTTTAAGGGATTGAATTGAGAGACCCAATAATACCAGAACACCATGAAATAAAACTGCAAGTGAGAATAATAATAAACTCAAAAAAGCTAGAAACAATAATAGCTAGGATGAAATAAAACTAGCCTTGTTTGATACTCGAGAAATAGTCATGACATTGAGTCACTTTAGCAGACAATGATCGTACATTTTGGATATATCCCAATCAGTGCCAAGGCACTTTAGATGCTAGGTGGGCGTAGATGGCCCAAGACTCCACGGAGTAAGTTGGTCGAGTGTACGTTTCTAACGAAATTTTGGATCTCAGTCCAAATACCCAAGGTTATTTTAGGAAGACTAAAGGGGTGTGCACTCTGAGACGCATAACCCTTAGTCAAACCATGATGCCTACCTTAGCATGTCATATCAGTATCCTATGTCTTCATACCTTTTCCACTAGCATGCTCAATTAGTTAACGCATGTAGTATATTAAATTTATTAGTGTGACACTAAACTCATAAGCTCAACATTCGAAATGTGTTTTCGTGCGCATGTTCTTAGGAGACTGTCCGTGGAGCGCTATCATCACTATATATTCCAGCTCAATAGAGATCTTCAAAAGTATGTCTTGATTTGGATTACAACAACAACAACAACAAAACCCAATTCCCATATGTATGGGGTAAGGGGGAGGTAGGGTAGTAGGCTGCCCCCAACGCCAGGTTGAGAATAGCTTCCGTGAAAGACCTCCGGCAGTCAAAAAATTAAAAATATAGATAAAATGTAATGCATGTATAAATAATTACATAAATACATAGCTAAACAGTATTCATATGCAGTCATTAATACCATATGTGCTTCTGTAATGGGGAGTAATCCCTGCAAAATAATCCCTGCGAAAGAATCTCTGTATATAGACAGAAACATAAGACCCGGCTAAATTTATACAGAGGAAACATGACGAGAATGATACACAGAAGACAACGATATCAAGCCCAGTTCTAATCATTCATAAATACCAATAACAGAAAAGTATAAAAAGTAAAAGTCATGGAAATTACTACAAATGCCTTTAAAAGAAGACAAAGATGATACACCCTATAGATTGGACCCACACTACTCGACTACCCTAGTCTTAAGCCTCCATAATTTCCTATCATAGGTCATGTCTTCGGTAAGGCCTAAATCCATCAAATCAGATCTCAAGCAGTATTATTTGGATTAGAGAGCATGTATTATTTTCACACACAAAGATCTTTTTTTCACATTTATAAAACGTTTGTTTTTGTCTGTTTCTATGGCACAATTGTTCATTTACTTTTATGACATGATTTTCTCTGTTTTTATGATAGTTTGACATTTTTATATTGTATTCATCACGACGCATCTTCTCATCAAGAAAGATCAACGATCTTTCATAAATCCCCTTTTACGATAATTTATCGACGTATTCAAAATCATTCATAGAATAATCTTTCATATTAATTCTCTTAATTTCCACGCTTACATCAATATTGCGTCTACATATATATATTTATTGATAATTATTATGTCCTCTTGGGATATAAAACATGTATTCGAGTGAAAAGTTTTAATTTTATTTTCTTAATGTCCTTTGAATTTACACATTATATTGTGTTATTTTGTTTTACTTTATCCTCTTATTTAATAAAAACTAAACTTTTTATTTAAAAATTTTCGTGTGAGTTTATTATTTTAGTTACTTTTGTTTAATTTTTTATTTTTTAAAATTAACTATTAGTATTTAATCTATTGATGAATTAATTCAGATCAAGTTTTGTAAAAAATTATTGTGGGGTAGACCTCTCAACTTATTTTTTTCGTTTATAATTAAAAATATTCAAACACATGATCTTGTTTAAAAAATTTGATATAATATCTCATTAAATCAACTAACTGTTGATTTTGTTTAATTATATTTTTTAAATAAACTTAATTTTTTTATTTAATTATACTGAATATGGATATTGCTTTTTTTTTTAGTTTGGTCATTATTTTTTTTTTCCGATTTATCCGTTTCATGGCTCGAAAGCGATTTTTTTCGCTTCAACCGATCCGCCCAACCGGTCCGGTTAAACAACCATGGAGTCAACTTTACAACCGTATAAAGCTCCATCCTGTTTCACAAAATGCGTCCAAAAACCTTAAAATCCAACTAAATTCCGATGATGGCCGGTCCGAATCCGCCAAAACAACAGTCTTTGTCGTCCAACAACCACCGCAAATCCCGTTGGGAATCATCCTCCACCGCAACCACCGGCCCTAAATCCTCCTCCAAGCCCAGCCCTTCCACAAAGAATGGCTCATCTCCAAGCTCCGCCCCTCGAAACAAGTCACAGTCCGACCCAAATCAGCCTCATCCTCCCTTTCCCTTTCCCGATCCTGCCGCCCTTGGCCCTCCACCTCCACCGTCGTATGGATTCCACATGCTGGAGCGTCGGACAATTGTCCTTTACGATGGCAGCGTACGCTCCTATTTTGCACTCCCGTCCGATTATCAGGACTTTCCGACCCGACCCATAGTCGGACCTCGCGACTTCGGTAGCCCAATGATGAGCTTCCGCAATAATCGTGATTATTGGAATTCGCCCGGTGACGGGCCTGGCACGTTAAAGAGAAAGTACGGCGAAGAAGGAAAAAATCTCAGAGAGGAGAGAAAGGAGGAACATGCGATGCAAAGGTTCGGACATGCCAATGCAAAAGTCTACACTTTGGGGTCTGGAGGGCCAGACCTCCTAGCAGGAACGAGTGGCTCGCATGAGGAAATGAGGGCGGCCAAGTATATGAGAGTTGGTGAGGGGCTTCAAAACAGTAATTTGGGGTTTAATAATAAGCATTTGGAGGTTGATCAAAGCGCTCTAAAGAAGGAGTTTTTGCACTTTGTGAAGGCAGTTTTTGAGAATGCTGCCCAGAAAAAGAATTACTTGGAGGATGGGAAACAAGGGCGGCTTCAATGCTTGGCTTGTGGCAAGTTTAATGCCAAATTTAGGTTTGATTCTGAATTGGAATTAACTTTTTTGATGATATTTTGCATTGTTTGAGTTCCATACTATATGATTTAAAATCAGAACAGCGCTTTACTACCTAGGTGTTTTTAGTTTTTACGTAATGTGTTGTGATGCAAGTAGTTAGATTAGGTTACTTACTATGCTGCTATTAATATTTAAAGCTAGAATGCTGTATTGTATAGGTGATATTGACTTAAGGGTAAAGATGTCTTGAATTGTGTTCAGTTGACTTGTATTGCATTTCCTTGGGCACATGGCACTGAGATTGTTTTTCGGTGTCATTGTTTGATGTTGTTGCCAATTTCTTTCTAGAATTATGAATGGTTGTCAAGCGCTACTCTTTTGGATTATGTCCTTGTCTTAATAAAATGCTTTTTTGGGGGTCCGATAGATGTGTTATTGCATAAACTATTACTAATGATTAGCTACTGAGCTTCAATAATAAGTTATGAATAAATAGATGGCATATTTAATTAATACAACAATTGTGAAATTCGGTTGAGGTACTGCAATGCTAATGCAGAGTTGTCTTCCCTTTATCAATGGTTTTCTCGGCAATCTCAACTATCTGACATTTCTAGGTTTTAGGTTAAGGTCTGCTATTTGATCCATTTAGCATGGATCTAAATCTTGGATTTTCTATAATCCTTCTGCTGGTTTGCTTTGTATGTGTCATAGTTAATCTTGGTTTGCTATAAGCTTCTGGCTTTTACTAGCCCATTAAGAGAAGTGCTTCCCATGTGTCATTGCTTTTGTTATTTTGTATTATCGAAGTCAAGTCTATCTATGTGTTCATCATATTACAAAATGAAGGGTGGGTCTTACGAGATATATTTTTTTCTCATTATGCACTTCAGAACTTCAATACAACAGTGTTTGAAGCCGTACATAAGTATATTAGTTTATTTATCCATACAATGGAAAGGATATTATAGAGATAATATTGTTGTTTTAGATTTTGTATTATAGCCACTCTTTTTTCTGTTGATGATCATTGTGTGTTCTCTATGTTTACGTATTCATATTTGGCTATGTTGTTTTACTGATGGGTTTTAATATTAGATTCCCTTTCATTTTTAGTAATATTATTAGAATTTAATTTATGGATTGGCATCAGTTTTAACGTGTCATTAAGAGAAGTGCTTCCCATGTGTCATTGCTTTTGTTATTTTGTATTATGGGGTTTATCGAACTCAAGTCTATCTATGTGTTCATCATATTACAAAATGAAGGGTGGGTCTTACGAGATATATTTTTTTCTCATTATGCACTTCAGAACTTCAATACAACAGTGTTTGATGCCGTACATAAGTATATTAGTTTATTTATCCATACAATGGAAAGGATATTATAGAGATAATATTGTTGTTTTAGATTTTGTATTATAGCCACTCTTTTTTCTGTTGATGATCATTGTGTGTTCTCTATGTTTACGTATTCATATTTGGCTATGTTGTTTTACTGATGGGTTTTAATATTAGATTCCCTTTCATTTTTAGTAATATTATTAGAATTTAATTTATGGATTGGCATCAGTTTTAACGTGTCTGACCATTTGCAGTTTCACCTGTTGTCATTGCTGAGTAGTAAGCATGTCCATAGTTGATATCCCTTTTAAAGTCCCTTGCATTACAATTATTAGGGTGCTGTTACATTTCACCCTTCTGCATTTTATCACTACCTTCTTTTTTTATGGCAACATGTTATGATTACCTTAGATTATTGGAGAATTTGATCTGGCTATTCGTGGTATATGTCAGTCTTTTTGGCTTAGTTGTTAGTAGTATATGGCCAATATTTTAAGCTGATTGGTACTAACACGTTCTGGTTTGTAATTTCTTTCTTATCTGCATGAGATAGCTGGGTGGCCTGATTGTGGCAATTTTTAATGGCCATTCTTCTGGTGGTTGATAAGTTAAATTATTAGTTAGAATGAAGTTGGAGGCTGCAAGTGTAAATTAATGTAATTACAAATTAGTCTAACTTTTTTTTTTGAATTGCCTTGTACGAAACAATTAGATAGCTATATATTTTTGTTTTTCTGTTTTGAGTTGACTGCTTTTCTGTATAGTGGCCCTTGGGGTGATTGTCATTTATTTATCTGTAAGCTTATCTTCATTTTTGTTGTTATTTGTTTTATCCGGTAAGCATGATGTCTACATGCTGGCATGCATAGACCATGTGGAGATTTCTTTTGTGTTTGCTGCCATTCTCTAAAGTTTGGTTCATCTTTCTGTTTGTATTCCTTATGTCATAGAATTCGAAACCTCATTATTGTTCTCTTACCACAAATTGGAGTGCAATAGTCTGTACTGATGTTATGATCTGACATCCTGTTGTAGCTATATATTTATTCAAAATCTATATATAATCAAATGTCTGCTATTGTGATTGTGTTAAATCTACGGCTTTTGAACCTTCCTACTTTAGTTGTACTTGTGAGGTGCATTTTTATCTAGATACTTATCTCCCCATCTCTTCTCCAAACCTGGTTACAATATCTTTTTGGGTGATGACTATACCCTTATTTCCAATGATTTAGCGAAGAGGAGTTGGTTCTATGGATATGCTATCATATGGAATGGTTTCATTACAATTCAATTTTCAAATTTGCCTTTTTGTGCAAGTTCTTATTTGATGCTTGCGGTCTACTTGGGTGATAGTACAATATATTGGCCTTATGCCATGCGCAATACTTCACTCCTTTTATCTGTTCAACTTATTCTCGAACTGCTGAAATTTTTTTTTGTTCATTTCCCTAGTTCAATCTTGTAGGATAATTCTAGTGATATCTCAAAGGAAGACCTGAATTTTATTCTTCAATGCACTTGATATGAACAATTACAGGTCCTCTAAAGATTACTCTGATATGCATGGTCTGATAATGCACACGTACTACTCAGATAATCCTGACTTGCGTGTGGATCACTTAGGCTTACACAAGGCTCTATGTGTACTAATGGGATGGAACCACTCAAAGCCTCCTGATAATTCAAAGGCCTATCGGTTCTTACCTGCTGATGAAGCAGCCTCAAACCAAGAGGATTTGATTATGTGGCCTCCTATGGTGATAATACATAATACTATAACAGGAAAGGGGAAAGATGGGCGCATGGAAGGTATGGGAAACAAAGCAATGGATAGCAAACTGAGAGGTATAATGCGCCCCATTGTTCATTATTCTTCATTATTGTTGATGTTCAACACGGTGGGTAGTGATTTGTTTAGTTATTCCCTATAATCTATTTAGTTCCCTTCTCTTTCCTTATAAGTTATGTTTTCGTACAGTATAGACCAGTTATGTTTTTTTATCAATTGGACTTGTTAGCTTAGTCAAATTCCATTTTGTTTAGCACGACCATGCAATTTCTGTTGGCCTTGATAAACTTATCGGTAAAGTGTCATTTTGAGAACTCTTTCCATCTCATGAAGCCATCAATCCATCAAAGCAGCAATTATGCAATTATATATTTTGGAGGCTTATTTATTAATATTGTTTTTGTTTCTGTATGTGTGTGTCTCGGGGGGGGGGGGTTGACGCTAGAAATTTTTTGAAACTTGTGACAAGTTTTGTGCATGCTGATTCCTCAATTTTGAATGTGCTTATTAGGTGAAAATTGAGACATCAATTTGTGGGTACTGATTCTTTAATTTCCCCCTTCATTCAATCCTTTTGATAATAAGTGTGATGTGAACATTTGTTATCCTCAGTTGTGGACAATATTTCTGATTATGCTTGCACTTATTCTTTGTTGTTTCTTGCTTGAATGGTCAATGTAGGCAAACCTGAACCTCATTTTCACTTCTTAAGGTTTTAAATTTGATTAGTGCACGCTCTTCCTTTTAATTCCTTTACATTTTCTCCCTCTTCGGTTGATGCTTACCGTATCTAACCACTGCTGCTTAATATTAAGTTCTATGGACCTAGCATGATGGGATCTGAACCATGTTTATCTGAGATAGACTCGATAATGGGACAAGTTTTGCTTGATTTGATCTATTAAAATGGATCCAAGTTTTACCTGTGAATTAGTATCTGTTTTTAGAGAAACCAAGCTAGTATTATTTGTCTGATGCTTTGGTCATTTTCTGTCAAATCTTTGGCTATTGTTGCTTGAGGATTTATATGCTTTACCCAATATTATTAAAGTTGGACTGGACTTGGTAGTTTGAGCAGGTAGTTCTCAAATTGGTCTTAATTGGAATCCATATCAAAACACCCAGTTTGTTTAGATTAGGAAGATGGTCCTCAAACTGGTTCTGATTAATGTCCAGATCAATGCACTAGCTTGATAAAATATCCTCGAGCCTCACACCTGTTGAAATCTGTAACCTGGTGAAATCATCTGGTTTGAAGAAACTAGATTCACTTCCTTCCTTTTGGTGTCAAGATGGAAGTTAAGCAAAGGAGATTAACATGATTGACTCGGTTGTTGTTGCCTCCATGCTGATATTTGGGCTTTATTTAAAATTGATGCTATGTTTGTTTATGCAAGCTTCTGTGTATTAATGGACGAGTAAATAATTATCTATATTATTTCATCAAGTTCAGACGTATTTATTATATAGACATCTTTGATGGTAAAATACATGTTTTGAATTGAGATGCATAAAATCTCATTTCGGTTCCAATATTTTCCTATGAAAAATCAATGATTTTTTAAGCACCTTTGTGTCTTGAACTCTGTGTTTTTGTCTCCCACAGAATTGTTCCTGAATATCAACACTGTCCTATGAAAGCATCTTATTTTCTCCTCCCCATCTCAACCTTCCTTCGATTTTGCTGTTTATTGTTTACAATTTAGTCTCTAGTCTTAGACACTGATTCTGAATATCTCCCTTTTGGTTCAAAAAAGTTGCACTCTTCACTGTATGGGTATTTTATCGTTATTGAAATTCTTTTAGCCCATCTTAGTAATTTAGCTCTCACATTTGCTTTTCTAACTCTTCTAATTGTTGTGGTGGTAAGTATAATTGCATGGAGTTGGATTCAGTTATGTTTGAGAGGTTAATTTTCTATTGAAATAGTGTGTATTCAGACCCGCTTTCTACCCAGTCACATTTGCTATTGGTATGCAATTTCATTGGGGTTACTGCAGTTGTTTCTGGTTAAGAAAACCACATGTTTTGTGATTGGTTTTCCTGTTTGACTAGTGCTGAGGTAATGATAGTTGAGGAGATCTTCCATGTTGAAATCTTTAGATGCTGTTTTAATTGTGTCTAGAGCCCCCCCGGTAACAATTTCCGAAAGAGACTTAGATTTGCTGTGCTTATATTGGATTCAATATATCCAAAAAGTACTTGTTCTCTTGATACCATCTAGATTATATTGAATCTAGTTTAGAGTTTTTTGTGGTTCCTTGATGCTTGCATTTTCCTGATATTGGTTGTGGTTTCCTGTTGCAAGAACTGCTTCTGATTATAGTCGTCTTCCAACATGATAGCAAGTAGTTAAGCTACAGGTTTGTGTTGTTAGTCAGGCTATGCCAGTTTAGGCATGTACAGTTAGTAACAGTTAAATGATGGTTTTAGGTTTGTGATATTGTTATTATTGTTGGTGTTGATGTTTAACTTACTGGAAATAATGAATAGGATGATGCTAAGGGGCTGAAACTTTTGATCTTGGCAACATGCCTCTTTCTTTTCTGGAGAAAATGCTTAGAGAAGATGAGCAGTAGACAGTGCCCGGTTTTCCATTGTAGAACATGCGGTACATGATTTTTGAAATACTTAATGCTCATGATTTCTTCATGAAGCTTGTGTATTTCTCCGAATTATTATTCTCAAATTAGGTATTGATTAAATTTTTGGAGTGTCTTTGAGTAGCATGCTGCAATGATGTCATTCAGAAGCTTTTGTTGTGGCAAGGAGGATATTTTATTTCTTTTTATCGCTAATAATTGTGCAACGACCTTATGTTGATCCGACGCTTTATTTCTCTTGATGTACTCATGTCTGACTCCCTTGCCTGAAACATAATCAGACATTAGAGGCATATTACCCTCCAAATAAAAAGAAAAAATTGACATACTCATATCTGACACACACATGCTCAAGTAACATGGTCAACAACAATATATGGAGTGATCTTTTCCCTTGGTGGGAGAGGATCTGCTCCAAATTAGTGGATATGCCCACCTGTTTATTCTAAGGTGACTAATTCCTCTTTGAAGTTTAATCTATGGCTGAAATTTTAATGGCCTTAAATTGAATATAAAGATAAATGAAGATTAATTGAAAAGGTTAAAACGAATTAGAACAAATATGAACCGTGTAAGTACTTGAAAGTGCCACCCTAGGATAAAGTAGTTGATTTTTCTTTTAAGTAGTGATGAGGATCCTTTTCCAGCACATAAATGCATTCATATTCTGCTGTGGTCTTTATGCATAGTAATCTAGTTCTTTCTTTACTTTAAACTTGTTTGTTGTGATCCGCAAACTTGTCTTTTTCCTCTGCTCAGTTACGTTTTTGTATCATATGATTTGTTTTCTGATCATCCTTGAAGTTCGAAGTTTGGATTGCTGTATGTTTGTCATTTGATTGTGCTAATCGTAATTGACATTACGGATAAATTTGTTACCCATCATCTTTTTCAGAACTATGTTCTTTTACCAACTGGGTTCATGTTGTAGCTTTAAACATATAGGTTCTTCGTTAGTTGTGTACATGTGTTACTGTTTCATATCAGCCAGTTACAGTGGGTTCTTGGTGTCTCGTTTATTTGTTTCTATCGATTGATCCACATAAATGAACCACTTTGTTATCAGTTTTCACTTGTACAATGTAAGTGTTCTTGCCACAGCCACTTTGAGAGCCAAACTTTTTTACCGGTCTTATTTTGTCCGCTGAGATTTTTTTTCCGAGCATTTTTCATCCGAGTATGTCTGCTAGTGATGTTAGAATATGTTTTTCTTTCCCGACTTTGGGGAATATATATCATGATTCCAAAGATCTTGCAAAAACATAACCACCCTGTGAAAAATGATATTTCACCATGCATTTGAAAGTTTAAATGAGTCGACTTATTTCGAAATATTCCATTTTACCCCAATGTTTCAGACCTTGGATTTGGAAGTGGCAAGTGCAAGTCCATGTATGGTAGAGAAGGTCATTTGGGTATTACAGTTGTCAAGTTTGCCAGTGATCAGTCAGGCCTGAACGATGCCATCAATCTTGCCGAATACTTTGAGAAGGAAAACCGAGGTCGCAAGGCTTGGTCCCGTCTACAGCCATCAACTTTAGGGAAGGAGGAGGATGATAAAAATCCAAATCTCGTGAAGGTGGATGAGAGGACTGGAGAAAGAAAGAGGGTTTTTTACGGCTACCTCGGAACAGTTACCGATATGGAGAAGGTTGATTTTGAAACACGGAACAAGGTCATGATCGAGAGTCGGAGAGAGCGTAAAGGAACCAGATAGTTGCTTATGGTCAAAGGTAATGTAATGTATTCTGAATTGTAGTTATTTGAAATTGGCAACTGGTACGTAGATATCTGATATTTTCCATTTCATGGTATTGGAAAATGAGTTTTATTTCATTGATGAAATTATTTGGCATCAACTCTGAAGATCATTTTCGTAGTTTGATGAATGGTGTTTGCTTATAGGACCATATTTCAATCGGCTAGTTAACGTGGACTCAGAAAATTTTCTTAATATGTTAATGGAACAAAGAGAAACGGAAAAGAGGTTTGTGGGTTTATAACCGAGATAGGAAATTCAAAAGTATTTTTTAAGTGTGCACGGTGTACATATATTAATAAAATAAATAACATAAAATTTATTATATTTTATTAAAAATGAAAGGAAATTCGAGTTTGATGAATTCAATCAATAAAAATGAAAACTGACGTCAATTGTATGATAATTCTATTAGACCTGACAATATGGCGGGTTCAAGTTTCTTTACTCCCCCCAAACCATATTTTTGCTTTTCTATTTATTTAATGTTGAACAAAATTTCACTCGAAAATCTATTTTTTCAACTCACTCGAATTAAAAAATTTAACTTGAATTTCCTCAAAGTTATAATATCATAAACTCGACTCAAAGATTTTGAGCTCGAGTTATAAAACATAACTTGAAATTTTTTGTAATTAGTATATTGAATTTTCAAGTTTAAGTAAAGTTCCTCTAGTTTGAATGACTATGATCTATGTATATTACATTTGAAAACAATATTTATATATTATATATGATTATAAAAAATCATTTAAATTAGAATTAAATAGTATCATAATATTATAAAAATTTACAATTAAATTTAAATAATAACTCAAAAACTCAACTCGGCTCGAGTTGAAATTTTTTTAAATCAAGTTTGAGTTATAAAATAAAACTCTTCAACTCGAAATCTTTTGACTCGATTTGATTGATCGCTCAACCAATATCTAACCTTTCAAAAAATAATGGGTAAATTGCCCCCAAAGCCTCTGATCTATTTAGATTTTGTCTTCTAGACTTCAAGTTTTTCTCAAAATTCAGTTTAGTCCTTAATTTCTATAATTTTCTTTCAATTTAGATTTTAGCCTTTAATATTAATCAATATAATCCGTTACAGCTTCTCTAAATTCACATAGCAGTGTTTGAATTTTTGAAAGTACAATTTTGGTCACCAATTACCCTAAATAAAAATTTAACAGTGTGACAACTCTCCCTCTTAAAAAATTTTCTTCATCCAAATTGACTTAAATCAAATAATGTGAAAATTGAGTCTTTATCGACTACTCAATCTCCCAAGTGCCGTAATTCTCTCCAGAATTTAGAAGTAAATATTGGAGCTCAATGAAGAATGATGGACATAATAACTCTATGAAGTTTGACAATCTCATAAATATAAAATCCACCTAGTTTATCTAGAGAATAATTAACTCAAACAACAATATAATGAGATGAGTTAGTGAGATGATGATCCATAACCCACAGACAAAGTTTATATTCATACACTCTTATCTCCACTCAAGAATATGAAATATGAATAGGGTGTAACAAACCATAAAGGTACAAATGCCCAGTTTTAACATGCTAACAAGTCAAATACCTTGACATAAACTTTATAACATATTTCTTCGTACTAATCTAAGTACATCTTATACATGCCATAATGAATAACGTAAAGACAGTTATGAGATTCACGAGTTAATTGTTAGAATTCAAATATGATTTTGTTACTTATGTTGGTAAGGCATGGATGATTCTTGAATGATATCGAAGAACAACACGTGACAAATGAAAATGAAGTAGTGTGTTGGCAATCTCTTTAACTTTCATGGTAACACTTAGAATCTTCAAGAGAACCATAAGAGTTAAGAATGGATATTAAACATGTGTAGAATTTGAAATTGATGATGGAGGTAACACTTGGCAACAAAAAATTAGATACTTAATGAAAGAATTGAGTTGGAAAAATAGATAACATTTTAGTATAGAATTTTACTAAGACAAGTAACTTTGAGGAGGTTAAGAATTGCCTATAAAAAGGTTTAGATAGTTGAAATTGGAAGTGAGTGGTGAGAAACAAAAAAATACGATAGATTTGAGAAAGCTTGGCAAAATTTTGTAGTATTTGTAAACTAACCGAAGTTAGTATTTGTGTGGTGATTGTATTCGTGTTTTGTTTCGTATTATTGAATATAATATGAGTTATAAGTTTATTGAGTGCCACGAACGCTTCCAACAAATGGTATCAAGAGCTTGGTTTGAGTATTACACAACAAAGGAAATATCCAATATGATTTAACCATAAATCTAGCAGTTGACAAAGGTGAACTATAGAAATTGGAGTATCCAAATGAAGGCGTTACTCAATTCCCAAGATTGCTAAGATGTTGTCGAGGAAGGTAATGCTGAGCTCGGAAAAGCAGTAGCAGAAGCGACCTTAACCAATGAAGAGAAACGATTACTGAAGGAATCTCGTAAGAAAGACAAGAGGGTGTTGTTCTTTATTTTTCAAGGAGTTAAAGAATAAACTTTTGAAAAGATCTCAGATGCATAATTGCAAAACAACCATGTGAGATTTTACAAAAATCTCTTTAAGGTGCAGAAAAAACCAAAAAAATGTATGTTTACAATCTCTAAAAGTTGAGTTTGAAATATTGAAAATGAAAAATATGAAAAGAATCGATGATTATGTTAGTTGTGTTAAAGCAGTTGTAAATGAAATGAAAAGAAATGGTGAATCACTCGATGAGTTCAAGTGATGGAAATTCTTTTGCGGTCGTTGACACAAAAATTTGACTATGTGGTTGTTGCAATCGAATAATCAAAATTTATCCCATATATCAATAGATGAGCTTATAGGTTCACTTCAAGCCCATGAGTGGATGATTGAGCAAAATGAAAATTGTGAAAATTCAGAGCAAGCTTTACAGAGCAAGTTTTGTAAAGCAAGATGAATGTTAATGAATGAGAAGCTGGAAACAGCTACACACGAGGCTGAGGAAATAGTGGAAGATTTTGTGGAAGAAATAGAGGTGGACGAGGAGCACGTGGACGCTATAGTCGATCATATGACACCATTCAAATGAGTGAAAATTTCTATACATTAGGTCATGGATGAGGATTCAGAGGTCGAGTTCGAGGTTGAGGCATATATTAACAGGGAAATAAATCCCAAGTACAATGCTATAATTGCAAAAAATATAGTCACTATAGTTATGAGTGTAGATTAGCTTCCAAACAAGAAATAAATTATGTAGCAGTAGCTGAAAAAGAAAATGTTGAAAAATCTCATGTTTTCCTTACTTACAAAGGAAATGAAGATTTTAAGAAAAATATTTGGTATCTCGACAATTGTTCCAACAACCACATGTGTTGTTGAAATGAGTTGTTCGTGAAATTAAATGAAACAATTCAAGGACGAGTAACATTTGGTGACGACTCGCATGTAAAAGTCAAAGGCTAAGGCGAAGTTATGATAATATAAAAGAATGGAGAAAAGAAATACACCTCATATGTATATTATGTACCAACTTTGAAAAGAAACATCATTAACATTGATCAACTTCTAGAAAAATGATATGAAGTGGAGATGAAAAATCGCTCCCTTTCTATTAAAAATAAAGAAGAAGAATTAATTGCCAAAGTTGATATGACTTATAATTTTCTTTTACAGTCGACATTGAGTCAAGCTAAGTCAAGTGCATCTACGACAACTATGGTGAAAGGACTTCCAGAAACCAACCCTTCTGATCAATTATGTGAGGCTTGCATCAAATGAAAGTAACATAGACAAAGCTTCGAAGTTGACAGATGCTGGCGAGCCCAAAGGTCATTGGAGATTATGCACATAGATATAGCCAGTCCTTTTAACATACCATCACTTGTAGGTAACATGTACTACTTAACTTTTATTGACGATTTTAGTAGAAAAAGTTGGATTTATATCTTGAAAGAAAAATCATAAGCACTGGAGAAACTGAAAGAATTTAAAGCAACGACGGAAAAACAAAGTGGCCAATATTTGAAGATACTCAGATCTGATAGATAAGGAGAGTATACCAGGTTTATTTGAAGACTTCTGCAAAGAACATGGCATATTCATCAAATGAATGTAAAATACACACCTTAACAGAATGAAGTTGTAGAGAGAAAGAATTGAATACTCCTTGACATGGCAAAGAGCATGATAAAAAGGTAAGCATCTACTAAGAAATTTATAGGTTGAAGTAGTTCATTGTTCAGTTTACCTGTTGAATCGATTTACAAAAAAGAGTGTTAAGTACATGACTCCAATGAAGCATGAAGCGTTCAAAACCCAGGAGTTAGACATCTCCAAATTTTTGGACGCATTGCATATGCCCATATTCCAAAGTAGACCAGAAAGAAGCTCGATATTAGAGGAGAAAAATGTATCTTTATTGGTTATAATAGATAAGAAAGGCTTGCATGCTTTATAATACTCTCATAAAAAAGGTAATATTTCAAGAGATTTCGAGTTTGATGAGCTGGAATACTATAGATTTAGAAAATAAAAAAAGAAAGTTGAAGGACTATTTTTTGATGAAGATAAAGATAATGATAATGATACTTTTAATTAAGATGAACAAGATGATGATCAAGGTCCTCAACAAAATTTAACTGTATCACCATCAATAAGAAACAACAGTAGTAGTAGCAGAATAGAAAATCATGAATTACCTCCCACATAAGTTTGAAGATCTACAAGAGAAAGAAGGATACCAGAAAGGTAAAATGATCATAAATTACAAAATGTTTCACTTTTCAATTTACATGAAAAGAGTGATCTCATACCAATTAAGAATCAATTAGAGATGACAAATGGAGAAAAGCTCGAAATGGAAAATCAGGTTTGTGGGGAGAGTGTTAGTATTCAAATATGATTTTGCTACTTATGTTGGAAGCAATGGTTGATTCTTGAATGATATGGTAGAATATGTGGCAAATGAAAATGAAGTGGCGTGTTGACAATCTCTTCAATTTCTATGGAAACACCTAGAATGTTCAATAGAACCTTAAGAGTTAATAATGAAAATTAAACTTGAGTAGAATTTGAAATTGATGATGGAGGCAACACATGACAAAACAA